ATTTCCTTCGGTTCAATCGTCTGTAGTCTGTTTCGTCGGATTAATCAGTCTAATCGGGCGCCAAAGTTCGCGTAAATGTAATTCCAGAATCATAGTGATCGGTCGCCGTAATCCGGCGATGGGGAAGGCAGCCGTGGTAAATCGGTTTAATTAAAAGTTTCATTATCCAAATAACTAGGCGGCCCTAGTTCGAGTAGAACCGCGCGAACATTTAGGCGAGCGTCGAACCTCTCGTTAATCCCGCGGCAAAGTTCGGTCGCGCGTAAAAAAATATTTTACGTTTTCTCCCTCTGTCGTTGCGATAACGGACTGTTCCGTGCGTTATCAGAATCGCGGAGGTGCGCGATGCGTTATCAGAGCTTCCAAAGAAATCACGCGAGCATCGTTCGCCGCTGGTACACGCCATCGCGCGTATCCATCCGCCGATAGATCACGCGAACACGCGCGTCCACGGGTAATTACACGCACGCGCGTCAGGTGAACTCGAGTTCGAGTTAGTCGTGTTGGATTGCCCAGTTGGTCGAGCTCGACTTTGAATGATTCGACTTTCGTGCGTACGAGTCAAGTCATTTCTGGCCAAATGATGAATTGAATTCACCCTAATTATCTTACCGAATATCGAAAGGATTTCGTCTGAAATCAACATTCTTCCATATTACTCCACGATTTCAAACGAAAGGCAATGGTGAAATAACCCTCCGTCGATTCACTCTCTAATTTGGAATTAGCCAAGCGTGCAAAGTATTTAAAGCAAGCTACGCATCGTGTTCAACCTCCATTTAATTTACATTCTTTTAATTACGAGTTTGCACCAACTCGCAAGTACCATCCCCGGCGGAAGAAAGTTCTCGACCAAACGCCAATATTCGAAAAGTATTCGAAAACATTGTAATCTTTTGTAACATTTAATGTTACAGTTGTTTGAATGCACATGGGAAGCTAGAATCAATTGGATCCTTTTGCAAAAAAATTTCAAGTACATTCAAGTACTCGTGTTTGACCGAAAACTTTTCACCTTCACCCGTTGCCTTGCGATCTTCTTGCCAGACGTTAGTTATTACGACTAAGCTAGATTTTGCTTTCTCCTTGAAATCGAGATTCCCACGAGGAGAGTTAACTCTCTAAGGGTTAACTACCTCGACGAAACTTCAGACTGGAAATAAACATGAAACCGACCGAAAAGTTTTGAACCAAACGCAAGTGTCCGAAACATTGAGATCTTTTATTTATGATATTTGAATGTTGTTTGAAACACATGGAGAACTAGAACTCGATTTCTCGTGTTTGACCAAAAACTTTTCACTCTTACCGTAGTGGATAGCAACTTGCCTTACGATTTTCTTCCGAGACGTTAGTTATCACGACTTGTTACATTCAAAGTATCGTGCGCAATTTTTTTTTTTTCTTTTTTTT